AATGTAATCCATCACATAAACAGAACCAAAAACAAAAACCACATGATTATCTCAATAGATGCAGAGAAGACCTTCGATAAAATTCAACAGCCCTTTATGCTAAAAAACCCTCAATAAACTAGGTATTGATGGAACATATCACAAAATAATAAAAGCTATTTATGACAAACCCACAGTCAATATCATACTGAACAGGCAAAAACTGGAAGCATTCCCTTTGAAAACTGGCACAAGACAAGGATACCCTCTCTCACCACTCCTATTCAATATAGTATTGGAAGTTCTAGCCAGAGCAATCAGGCAAGAAAAAGAAATAAAGGGTATTCAATTAGGAAAAGAGGAAGGCAAATTTTCTCTATTTGCAGATGACATGATTGTATATTTAGAAGATACCAATAGCACAAGGCTCACACATCTCATAGTAAAACTCTGTCTCTTTTTTTTTTTTTTTTTTTTTTTTTGAGACGGAGTTTCGCTCTTGTTACCCAGGCTGGAGTGCAATGGCGCGATCTCGGCTCACCGCAACCTCCGACTCCTGGGTTCAGGCAATTCTCCTGCCTCAGCCTCCTGAGTAGCTGGGATTACAGGCACGCGCCACCATGCCCAGCTGATTTTTTGTATTTTTAGTAGAGACGGGGTTTCACCATGTTGACCAGGATGGTCTCGATCTCTTGACCTCGTGATCCACCCGCCTCGGCCTCCCAAAGTGCTGGGATTACAGGCGTGAGCCACCACGCCCGGCCAACTCTGTCTCTTTTTATAAGCAAAGCACAGTTGGAAACACTGGCTATATTGCCAAATGTCATGTTAAGAATGTGAACAAAATGCCTGACTTTAAGAGTTCCCATACTTTTTTTTAAATCGCATTTTAGGTTTTGGGGTACATGCAAGATTGTTGCATAGGTACACACAAAGAGTTCCCATACTATAGTGAGTGATAAGAGCTGTCACCTCCTGGCAGACCCAAGAAACTTACAACTGTAAATATGTAGAGTTTGCTTTGCTTTGGCTACATAGCCTCATGAGGTTTTTAAAATCTGAGATTTGTATATAATCAATATAGTGAGAAAATTTATTTATTTATTTATTTATTATTTATTTTGAGAAGGAGTCTCACTCTGTCGTCCAGGCTGGAGTGCAGTGGCGTGATCTCAGCTCACTGCAACCTCCACTTCCCAGGTTCAAGCAATTCTCTTGCCTCAGCCGCCCTAGTAGCCAGAACTACAGGCGCGTGCCACCACACCTGGCTAATTTTTTGTATTTGTAGTAAAGACAGGGTTTCACCATGTTACAAGATGGTCTCAATCTCCAGACCTCGTGATCCACCCACCTCGGCCTCCCAAAGTGCTAGGATTACAGGCATGAGCCACCGTCCCCAGTGAAACATTACATTTCTAAATAAAAACTGTAACACGCCTGTTTTTAGGTTGTGGCCCTGTGCACTGTTTCCGTGTTCTTGTTATCTACCTGTAGACTAAACTAGATCCTGAATTCTCCTAATTTTCCCCAATATTTGGCTACAATTTCTCCAACTTGAAACAAAAGCCACTCTGGTTTTTTTTTTTGAGACAGTGTCTCACTCTGTCGCCCATGCTGGAGTGCAACCTTGTAATCTCAGTTCACTACAACCTCTGCCTCCCAGGTGCAAGCAATTCTCCTACCTCAGCCTCCCGAGTAGCTGGGATTACAGATACCTGCCATCATGCCCAGCTAATTTTTGTATTTTTTTTAATATATATTTTATTGCGCTTTAGGTTTGGGGGTACATGTGAAGAACACACAAGATTGTTGCATAGGTACATACATGGCAATGTGGTTTGCTGCCTTCCTCCCCATCACCTATATCTAGTAGAGATGGTGTTTCACCATGTTGGCCAGGCTGGTCTTGAACTCCTGACCTCAGGTCATCTGCCCACCTCAGCCTCCCAAAGTGCTGGGATTATAGGTGTGAGCCACCGGGCCCAGATACCACTCTGTTCTTAAAGCCCTAGAAACCAAAACTAGACGAATGTTAAGGAATAAGTCTTACAGCTGATGTATAGGCCATATAAATAGTTCACTAAACTGCCCAATATCATGCCTGGAGACATTCAATCTACAAACCAGGAGAAAAAGTTGATGTTTTTATGCTGTAGAACTTTTCCCAAGACATTGGAACAAGACTCCATATCATAATTAGCCTTTGCCCCACTTAGTATTACTTTTTCAGCTCAGCAGGATAATGGTATAACTGAAATTTCACAGGCATTGCTTCTGCTTATAACTTAACAAAATATAAGAAATCTTCTAGTATCCCATGGTTAGATAAGAAAATGTCTGTGTAATTGGTAATACTACATGCTATATCTGGATAAACTCCTCTGATAAAAATTCCTATGAGTTAAATTCCTCTGAGACCTATGTACCCAAAGGAAAAAAACTTTTGAGTTTCATAACTGCATAACCACAAATTCAGTTTGCATGAATGGAAACTGAAACTGATATTGCAACTAATTTGTATTTCCCCTTACTTTGTATTTCTCCTTTTAAGACTTTGTATCTGTTACTTGTTAAGTTTTTATAGCAGTACAACTCCTAACAAAATAATGCTGGCCCACCACTTTGAAATGATACGAAAAGCCTACAGAACACACTAATGAGGCCGGGCGCGGTGGCTCAAGCCTGTAATCCCAGCACTTTGGGAGGCCGAGGCGGGTGGATCACGAGGTCAAGAGATCGAGACCAACCTGGTCAATATGGTGAAACCCCGTCTCTATTAAAACTACCAAAAATTAGCTGGGCATGGTGGCGCGTGCCTGTAATCCCAGCTACTCAGGAGGCTGAGGCAGGAGAATTGCCTGAACCCAGGAGGCGGAGGTTGCGGTGAGCCGAGGTCACGCCATTGCACTCCATCCTGGGTAATAAGAGCGAAACTCCGTCTCCAAAAAAAAAAAAAAAGAACACACTAATGGACTCCATGTAGACTTAGCCTGAGAACCACTGCCTTTGAACCCTCCTTGTTGCCCAAAAGTGGTGGGTTTTTTGTTTTTTTGTTTTTTGAGATGAAGTCTTACTATGTTGCCCAGGCTGGTCTCAAACTCCTGAGCTCAAGTGATGCTCCCAGCCTAGCCTCCCAAAGTGCTAGGATTACAGGCATGAGCTACCACGCCCAGCCCCAAAAGTGGTTTTGACATTGACTCCTAGTCACCAATCACTCCCCACAACATGGGATGAGACGAGCAACTGAGACAGGTCCATCCTGGTGTTGAGGGACATCAAAATCAAATTACAAGGCTGGGCGCGATGGCTGACGCCTATAATCCCAGCACTTAGGGAGGCCAAGGCGGGCGGATCACAAGGTCAAGAGATTGAGACCATCTTGGCCAACATGGTGAAAACCCGTCTCTACTAAAAATATAAAAATTACCTGGGCATGGTGGCACATGCCCGTAGTCCCAGCTACTCAGGAGGCTGAGGCAGGAGAATTGCTTGAACCCAGGTGGGGGAGGTTGCAGTGAGACAAGGTTGTGCCACTGCACTCCACCCTGGTGCCTGGCAACAGAGCAAGACTCTCTCTAAAAAAAAAAAAAAAAAAAAAAAAAAAAAAAAAAAAAAAAAAAAAAAAAAAAAAAAAAAAAAAAAAAAAAAAAAAAAAAAAATCAAATTACAGAATGATTGATCGATGCTTTTTTCAGAGAAAGATCTTGATTACAAGGAGAAATGTGAAAGTTGTGAGAACAAAAATGGAGTCACTAATGTTAAGAAACCCCTGATAAATGAGTCAGAAAGGCAATGAAGAGAGTGGTCTCACACTTGAGTGCCTGATAATGAAAAAGATGACAATATCCCCAACATTGCATAAAGCTAATTGCAACCTTAAACAAAAAAATACTTCTGCAAGGACAGCTGCCCAGCAACTGCCTGTCCAACCTCAGACGTATGTCACCCTCATTACTGATCTCTGTAGTTAAGGCTAATTACTTCAAAACACATTATTGATCTCTGTAGTCAAGGCTAATTACTTCAAAACAATATGCAATCCTCTCCATTTTTGCCTTCCTTTATGTCCCTGTGAAACAGGTCAGGGCCAATAGGTTTGTTGTCTCAGGTGTTATCCAAGTTTCTTGTCTCAGGACCAAGAAAATTAAGGAGCATGGATGCAAAGGGTGAGGTGGCAATGAGCATTTACTAAGCAAAAGAAGAAAGCTCACCACAGCAGAGAGGGGAACCATTTTACAGTTGAATGCAAAAACTCTTATTAGAAACTCCTCTCATCTCTATAGCTGTTTAAGTATCTGTAAAACTGTCTGTATACTCTCCCTATCTATGCAGCAGTGGAATGTCTCTAGGTAAGCACAAAGCATAGCTTCTCCTGTGTATATAACTGTGGGTTTGTTTTCCCTAGACAAGCTCCTAGGAAGCCCACAGTGTATACATCTGAAAAAGGGAGCGAACTTTTTTCTTGGAATCTGTTAGTCACAGGAAGAACAAAAGGCTTCTATGCTGGGCCTTGCCTACTTATCTCCCTGCTTACGTGTGCACTGCAGTCTGAGTGTTCCCCAGGCTACTCTGTTTTTATGTGTAGCTGTGATTTTTTCAGTCTGCTTCTCTGAGGACCATCCTTAGCTGTCTACCTAACTGATTTTTCCTTTTCTTCTCCCTCACCTGAATATAGGCATAGTTTATTATGGTGTGCATATACCCAATTGCAATGCTTTATTCCCATATAAACACTGTTGTTTTTTTAAAGAAAGCTTTCATATGTTTGTTTAGGCTGACACTTCTAATATTGAAAGTATTACAGCTGCAATGTAAAATTCTTACTATTAACATGAACATTAGTATAACAATTATTATTATAGAAACTTTAAATAATTGAGTACGAGAGAGGTGGCTAAAGTTGTCAAAGTCACATCTTGGCAAAAGCAACTTGGAAAAAAAATTAGGCTCTAACAGGACGCAGAATTTCCTGGGGTTTTTTTTTCACGCTTCCTCTTTTTTAACAAGGGGAGGGTCCTGTTTCTCTTTCTGACAGCTTCCTATGAACTTCTCCCTTTGGGGTTTCCCTTTCCTGGTGACCAAGGGGAACTGAACACAGCAACCTGGCAGTGTCCTAGCAACAAGCCTCCGCTTCTTCTTCTGTACCCTGGGGCTCCTGAAACTCACCTGGTAAGCGCTCCAGGAAAGCAGCAGGCGGTGACTTTAGGGAGGATGGGACAAACGGGAGAATCCCCTTAGGCTTCAGTTTCACTAGTTCTCAGCTTCTTTTGGGATAATGATTACAGAGAAGGAGAGCTTTCTGAGAATCGAGGGAAGTAAGGTCTCAAGACTTCCGGTTGTCATGTTGGCTGTGGGGGGTCAGTGGGGTCGGTGCAAGCATCTGGACCATCTTTAATGTGGGCAGGAGAAAACATGATGCTTCTGCAGAGTTTGTATTATCCTTGCCCATTATTTAAAATAAAACATATAGGCAATACATAAAATATTTTAAATAAAATTGAAGCAGCGTATGAAATTTCTGGAATGCATCCTCCTCCTCCGGCTGTACCACTATGGAGAAAGAGGTCTTTATCTCCCTTCATGTCTCATATATTTTGCTTATAGTTTAAATAACATTTTCTATATTACTTAAAAATTGTATTTGCTTGGTGTCATACTGTACAATTTCTTCTGCGGTTTAATTTTAACCAATATTGTGAATATTCATCAATATTTAACCTGTGGTTTCAGCAATTCATGTTAACTGCACTACAGAATTAATGCAGTGATCATATTATTGGTATACCCGAGCGACTTTAAACAGAAGCGCCACGCACTGAGGGTGTTGAGAGTCCACCTTTATGCCGGCATCCGAGAGTCAGCTAGAGCCCAAACCTCTTGGCCAAGAACAAAGGGCGGTCCACATTTTTATACCAGTTTAGGGTCAGGGGCGGTTTACAGAAGCCGAAGGAGCAGGTTAAGGGAAGTGGGGGGGGAGGGTTGTCTAACAAAAAGTTCTACTTAAAATTGTTTTTTTACTCAGGATGTGGGGTAGCAGTTACACAGTTACAGATACAGGGTGTACAGGGTCAGTGGGCCCCGTTTCTCAGAAAATGGGTGACAAAGATGGCAGGTGTCTCAGACCACAAGCTTGGGGAACAGAATGCCCTACATAACTCAGAGTGGGCAAACATAGCTCAGGGTGGGCAAAATGGAGTTGGCAGGATTGTTTAAAATGTATTCATTATAACCAAGCTCAAGCTAGGGTATTTCATTATAATCAATGCATCCATTCTTTTAGTTATGGACATTTAGTTTGTTATCACCTTTTTTCCTGATTGCAAACCATAATATGATGGACTTTTTTTTTTTTTTTTTTTTT